CACACACACACACACACACACACACACACACACACACACACACACACACACTCACACACACACTCACACACACTCACCAGTCTGTGTAAAGGAATGTTCCCCTGGTGTGTTTTTGTGCGTGTACCTGTCGTCCTCACAAAGCTATATACGACAAATAATGGCCCTGAGTTTGCCATAGATTGTTGTAGTGTCTAGACAGTGGACAATTCCACGATAAATGTCACACTCACTGAGAACATGGGGGTATCAGTTGTTAGATGAGGGGGGAATAGCCACCGAGGCTGCAGTTTGCTGGATTGGAAAAATGGGAAAGGGGGGGGGGTAATTCATGTTTCTCTCAGCTGTTTGGAATGCATTTGATATACACAGGTTTAATGGAGTGGGGGGAGGGGGTAGTGGGTAATAATGTCTGGTATCACCTTCCCATAATGAGAAAAGGTAAGAGAGAAAGTGGAAAAAAGAAGACAATTGAATTGAAGGAAGTTTGGGTTCAAGTGATCCAATTGTGGGTGGTGGTCCTCTCTTAGGAGTCTGCCCCGTTTACTTTTCGGTATTGCTATTTTAAGCTGGTTTATTATTTTTTTTTGTAAAACGTGGCCGTTATTGTATTAACCATCCTTTTATGTAGTTTGTGGGTGCTCTAGTGTGGTTTGCTCCTTCTTTCTTATCAAACATCTGACGACCTGATTTCTCCTGCTTCTTTTCTGTGTTACTCTCTATAACACCTTCAACACTTATGTGACCTATTTGTGTTGCAAGAGCTGTAAAACTCTTACTAAAACTTTTTTTTAAAACGGACTTTTTACTTGTTCCAAAGCTCCAGACTAACGTCAATATTTTTTCCCATCCCCTGACAGGTCTATAGGATCTATTATCGGAGGAGTCCCCTCCCTCAAAAAACTTCAAGGGGCCAGTAATGATGACTGGATAGACAGACTTAACCATGTATGGACAGTGTTCCTCATGGCGCTCTTCGCCATTGTGGTCAGTACCGGTCAGTTTGTGGGCGACCCAATCCACTGCTGGTGTCCGGCCGAGTTCACGGGTGCCTATGTTGACTATGCCAAGAGCTACTGCTGGATCAAAAACACGTACTACATCCCGATGGACACGCCCATCCCGACTGACCACGATAACCGAGAGTCGGAGGAGCTCACATACTACCAGTGGGTGCCTCTCATTCTCTTGTTCCAGGTGAGTTAAGTTCATGTATTCTCTTTGTGTGTTCATCTTGTTTGTTTCTTTGTTTCTTTGTTTGTTCATCTATCTGTCCATGTTGGTGTGTCTAGTGTTTGTAGGTGGATCTATTCAATCATCCATCCTAATGTCTATCCGTCTGTTCACTCATCTGTCCACCAGTCCATCCTACCATTGCTGGTAATTGGGTTATTGGAAGGTGCCACTGGCAGGTTCTGCTTCTTTTGTCTCTTCTGTTGTTTCTGTTGGTGGTCTAGCTGCTCCTTCTTTCCTTTTAAACATCTATCGTCCTTATCTCTCCTCCTTCTTTTTTACTTCTGTTGATACTCTCTTGTAACACCTCTAATCTTCGGCACTTATAAATATGACCTCATTGTGTTGCAAGTGCCGTAAAACTCTTTACTAAACTAAACTGTATCCCAGCATTGGTCACTAATTGACTGCTTTTGTGTCAGTGTTCTTCTCTTTTCGTACCCCCCCTCCCCCAACCACACCACATTCAAAATGGAAAAAATAACTCTTATTCTGCCAGTGTTTTGTCTTCTCTGCTTCATCCAGCTCTAGACTTGTTAGTTTTTAAGTGGACGGGTGGCTGGATGATGTCACTGATAGATCCAACTTCTTTTCTTACCCACTGGTTTTTTTTTCTGTATGTCTGCCTTATTTTTTCCTTGGACTAAGTTATCATTATTGTGTCGATGTCTTCACTTTACTCAAACAAAAAACGTTGAAGTGCATAACGTGTGACCCAACATGCCTATTTTGTGCTCCACAGGCATTCATGTTCAAATTCCCCAACATCCTGTGGCGTTTGTTCAACGGCGGTTCAGGCATCAACTTGGACAAAATTGTAGACATGGCAGAGAAGACTCAGCTGGGTTCCCCAGAGGACAGAGACAAGACCATTGATCACATCTCTAAGTACATGGACAGGTGAGCTCTAGCTTTTCTTTTTCTGATGATGAGGATTATGATCATGATGATGATTATGATGATGATAATGATCTTTGATATTCTTGCTAGACTAGCATCACTTTCTTTATAATTAGCCCCTTGGCCTGGCGCGCTCTGAATCAACTTCCGTCTAGCCTGTGACCACATCTAATCTTAAGACCCTCTTTGTTAGGCCCATTTCCCTGCTTGTATACAGCTCTCATTTAGTTTTTCTCTTAGTTGCTCCTGAGGAAGCCCAAGAGGCGAAACGTTGAGCTATGTCTATTAAACAAATTTTAAACAATTTATTTTGTTATGTTATTTTGTCTGAAATTCAAACAAGACTCTCCTCCCTACTCTGCTATCCAAACAATGATAATGATGATGATGATGATGATGATGATGATGATGATGAAGCTGATGTCAAAGAAGGGAATGATAAAGATAAAAATGTGAGGGGTGCTGACAAAATGTGTTACTTCTACTTCTTGCAATCCGCAAATTGAGATGTTGTCGAAAAATTAATACAAGGTAAAATTTGTCGATTTTTAAACTAATGTCACTTTCTTCAATTTTAACCTCTCTTTTATTATTTCTAACTTATAATTTGTAAAAACAAAACTTTAAGATTTGAGGGCTCTATTTCCATGGGGCTAAAATCTGAGCAGCAACTCATTTTGTCAGCACACCTCACAAATGATCTTTTTATCTACCGAAATATTTGTTTGTCATTAGAAATTGGTTTGGGAAGGATTTTGCTTTCTTTTTAACACACAGGAATTACACTGTTTATGTAGTTCTTTGTACCTGTTGACATTGAACCCAATTTACAGTAGGTTTAGGGAAAATGGTCTTTTTCCATATATGTGATCCCTGGTTGCCAGTCACTATTTCATTCTTTAGAAGATATTTTAAAAATCAATTTTTTAACAGGCATTGTTGTATACTATACATCCTGCCTATTACAGTCTTAATGGGTAAGGCAGAATTCGGATGTACTCTTGGTATTTTGTCACGGTTTCTGCCTGTGTGAAGAGAAAAAGTAGAAAAGCAGAATCAAAACTTGTCCTGGATGACCAACCATAATTGGGGAGAAAAGTATGCACCTTTGACAGATGGTGTTTTGGACAGTGTCATTATACTACTGAAAAAAAATACTAGGGGGAAAGTGGTTGTTTGTACTGGTGATTGTAGTGGATCTAGTAGCGTCAGAGCAGGTACAACTGCATTTACAGTACATGGGAAATACTAAATCTTATCCCTTACTCTTGACTGCACAGATGGTTGGAAACACACAGAGAGTACCACTGGAACGCTCTGATCAAGGCGAAGCAGACCCTGTCTCGTGTCTGTTGTTTCTTCTGCAACAAACGTGCTGGCACGTACCTAACAGCCTTCTACCTCTTCATCAAGGTCGTCTATGCCGCAAACGTCATCGCCCAGTTTTTCATTCTCAACGCTTTCCTGTCCCAAGATTACAATTTGTATGGATTTGAGGTAAACATAGGGTGCATTTGCTTCTTAGTCCTCGATTAGTGTGTATATTTCTGAATTGAAGGAAGTTTTGAATTGTTTTGTGTATGTTTTCTATTTCCATTTTTAAAATTTAATTATAAAATTCCCCTACTTTTCGGTCTTATGATTAATTCCCAAGTGTATATTCTCCTTCTGAAATGAAAACTTTGAATTTTTTTACTTTTCATTTTTGTTCATCTTATTAATAGTTACTTTTGTCCTGGGCTTAACAATGGGTATCCTTTACTGCTCACAAATATTATATTTGTTATATATTTATATCTTTATTATGTTTTAGTTGTTTATGAACATGTGACTTGGGGAAACTGACACTCAAGGTTTCCGGTCGGGAACGTTAAGTGGATTCGAAAGTTAGGACGCATCAACATGAATGTTTAGTAACAATTTGTAATGTTGTTGACCCCAGCAGCTATTACTGACTGGTCCATGAGGTTTTTTTCCCAAATCATTTTTAAAAATGTCGTCAGGGATTCGGGTTTGACCCTGGTGTGGAGTTATTTTTCTCCCCCAGAGACTAGGTACAAAGTACGGCCTACGGAATTGCTCAACAATTGCGCAAAACCTGCCACTATGATTTTATTGCTCTTGGTCCAAGGTTGATATCCCGTGCTTTGCTATTGAATTGTAAATGTAAATATTTTGTTTTAAACAATCTGAGTTAAAAAGAACGTGTGGAGGGTTGGAGATTTGCCTGTAGTAGGTTGTACTTATTTTCTTTCCTTCTAATTTATCTGTCTGTCTCTCTGTCTTCCTTTTTCCATGTGCTAAATGACAGTTGTCTTATCTATGTGCTCCATTTTACTCCAACAAAACTGAAAGTGAAAATGATGGACTTTCTTGACACAAATGAGACTTGACATTTCGGCACCAGACGAACTCTGTGAAAATTGAAAGGACTTTCTTTACAGACAACAAAATCTTGATATTCCTACTTCAAATAAAAAAAAAAAAAGTTCTAAATGAAACGATTTCCTTTACAAAGCTAATAAAATCTTGACATTTCTTCAACTGTGCAGGTCCTGAACATGCTTGGCTCCGGCAGTGAGGAATGGAAAGAATCGACTCGGTTCCCTCGTGTCACGCTCTGCGACTTCAAAATCCGCCAGCTCCAGAACATCCAGACATGGACGGTCCAGTGTGTCCTGCCCATCAACCTGTTCAACGAGAAGATCTTCATCGTCATCTGGTTCTGGCTCGTCCTTGTGGCCACTCTCACCTGCTTGAACTTGGTCAGGTAAGAAAAGGGGTTGGTTGGTGGAAGCTCTTTCTTTCCTGTCAAATTTCTGACGTCCTTATCGCTCCTCTGTCTTTTTCTTCGAATGTTATTCTCCGGTAACATCCGAAAATCTTCGGCACTTATATTACCCATTTGTATTGCAAATGCTGTAAAACTCTTACGAAAATTTAAAAAACCGAAGGTACGAAAAGAAATGGACTGGTGTCTGTGGTGTAGCGGTTAGGAGCTTCGCTGTCGCATACAGGAGACCTGAGTTTCGGTTCCTGGGTGGGTAGACATTTTTATTGAGTATCTCAGTCTTTCTGCTGGGATGTTTTTTCCCTCTCATGTTGGAAAAAAAGAGCTCTTCACTGAGAGACAGCTTTCTAAATTATCAAAATTGTGTTGCTGTGGGCGTAAAATATTGATAGACAACCTGAGAGGTATGTATACTGTCAAGTGCTTAAAAAGCAACTTTGTTATACTATTTTATGCACATATTTTTGTTTCACATGCTGATAGATAAGATATTCTTTTGTCACTGCTTCCTCAAAAGTAAATGAATTTTTGGTTGTTGTTGTTACAGCTGGCTGTACCGTGTGATGGTAAAGAGGAACCGCGCCACTTACATCAAGAAGTACTTGAAGATCAACAACGAGCTCCACACCGGCTTTGACAAGAAGCTGTGCCAGAAGTTTGCGGACGAGTATCTGAGGGACGACGGTGTCTTTGTCATCCGTGTGATTGCCAAGAACTCCACAGACCTGGTGGCCACAGACCTTGTAGACAAGATGTGGAAGTTGTACCGCGCTAAGCGCATGAAGAGGAATGATGACGAGCCGCCTGCCATTGAGCCTACCACTGAACCCATTGACAAGGAGAAGGAAGCTTTGAAACCAAACTAAATGAGAACACTTGGACTTGAGTAATATGGACATTCTGGTATAGGAATCTTCTGCTGAATTCTAGCTGGGCGGGGGGGGGGGGGTGTGATAGGGAAGAAAAGAGTATTGTTGATATGATGAGAGTGAGGTTTTTGTATTGGAAGAAGCACAGTTCACTCTCAAAAGTTTGTAGGAAGTTTTCCATAAAGAAAGAAATTTTATAACTGGAGGACTGTGGCATGATTTTTAATGAACACGAACGTAGATTCACCTTTCTTTTCTAGGAGGCTTTACAGTCAAGGGAAATCTTGGTCTTTTTGTCTATTTGTCATGTGACATATAGCAGGTAGAGCACTTTACCATTTTCGATTTTGATGTCGCTTCTAATATGAAAAGCTTTGCTTTTCTGTTACTTATTTCTGAGTCACTGTTCCTCCTACGAATCAAAATGTTCTTCTAATATGAGGAGATATTTGGTGTGAACCCTCAGTTAGAATTGGAGGGTAGTTGCAAACATTACCTCTGTGAGCCCACACTGTTCGTTCAAAATACAAATTTTGAGCAGCATAAGTAGTTACCTATAAATCAAATATATTTTTTACCTTTCTTTCAAAGTATTTCAGTTTAGACCCTTTACCCACCTCTCTACCAGACTTGCTAGAAGTTCTTCAGTTGGATGTGGTTAATGGAAAAACATAAACAACAAAAGTATGCAGGAACTGATTGTTTTTATCATTTTCATATATTATGATTGTCATTTACATTTGTGGACATTAAGTGGGAGATGTGAGAAATGTAACGACATTCAATGTCTGTTGAGTCTTTGAGTCGTGAACTCAAACACAGAATTATGGGAACAAAATGTCATCAAAGATGGGAGCAATAGCTGTGTATGTGATGTATAGTCTTAAACATTTTCTTAATTTTTAATGTTCAAAGGGGATGATTGGCCAGATATTCCTAAACAGGAAGGGACTTTTTTTTTTTTTATTTGATTGGGTTTTTTTTTTTTTTTTTTTTTTTTTTTAAATTTTCCAAATAGCACCCACTTGCCTTTTTGGTCTTTTTATGTAGGATTTCTTCGTTGAGGATCCTCCAGACTAGAATCAAATGTCTTCCATGGTGATTGGTTAAAATCTGTGGCATTGTGAGTGAATGATTTAAAAGAATGTTGATCTATGCAAGCTTTCCATTTGTAGTGCGCCCTAGCCTTTTACCGTATACATCGATTGTGCCTCATGTTACCTCCTCTGCATCTGAGCTTCGAATCATATACTGTGCCTTTTATTGATAAGGAGTTTACAATAAATTTTAGATATACGTATACATTCATGCAGGCAGTACTTTGTAAATATTTTGTCTCTTCATATGATAACCCAATCGCTTCCTGTGTTGGTAACAAGTTGCCTTGTGGCTTCACCAATGTGCCTTAGATGTACATATTCTTGAGATCCTACCGGGGCATTATCCCATGTGACAACAATTATCACTCAAAAGAGAAAAATTGATGTAGATCTGGATGCATGTTAATAGTGTGTTTTCTTTGAGAGAGCATAGTGGAAGCTGCTGAACTTCCAGGTGTAGGTAAGGTCCAATTTTAGGTGGTCTACTTTCAGTCTGCCTTCATTGTTTGCCAGTATGTTTAGTGCTTGTGATATGTTACTTTTCTACGTCTGAGTAGGTTTAAGACAAAGGTTGTGACCTTTCAGTGGTGACCAGATTTGGAGGTTTTGAAGGTGATAAATGTCTGTACCAATAGATATCTTCATTCAGTATCTTTGAAAAAAAATCTTTTAGATAAAAATTTTAAAAACTATTGCCAACGACATTTTCTTATGTATGTCATTATAACTCTGTTTCTATCTGCAATATTCTTTTGTGTTCATGTATTGACCCTGGAGGACAGTCGCCAGGCCAAACTACAGCAAATCATGAACTGCTATAATTTCTCTCAACATTTATAAAGACACAAACTGACCTTATTGCCTGAGCTCTCAGCTCCTGTAATAAATAGTTAAAAGAAAAAATAAATACTTCTAAGTGTTTTTTCATGTGATGACATCATTTGATTGGTACTTGGTTACCTGTTATGACTGTCTCTCTACATGAACGTCAGATGAGATAAATCAATTCAGTGGCCTTAAACTATGTCTTTCTCCATAGATTCCTTTTCTTTTTCAGCTTCTGATCTCAGTGCACACTTTCCAGAGAGAATTTGTTTAAACATTGCTTCATCTTTCTCAAATTGTACATGTTGAGTTTTTCCCCACCGCTTTCCATTTTTTCAATTATCTTTTTGATGAAATGTGTACTTTTTCGGAAAAATTAGTTAATTTTCTTCTCTTTAATTTCTATTAGTTTTTATGTTATTCTTACAAATTTTTTTCATGTTTCATGGTCCAAGTAATGTTACTGAAATTAACTTTTAAAAAATGTTCTTCTGTTTTATCCACACTTCCTGATACAGAATGCCATTCCTTGTTTGTTGGTCCAACACATTCCCACAGAAATAACTAATTTAGGCATGTTATGATGGCGTAGATTTTTTTCTCCACTAGGGAGAGAAGAAAGCAAATCTATTTGTTTGATCTTCATTAAAACTATTTTTCATGATCTCTTGTTCTGCAATACTTTTTTCTTCTGATTACATCTGTAGTCTATCAAAACCATGAGATGCCACTCTTTCTGTCGTATCTACAAGCAGAGTACCCTTTGTGGGTAGCAGACAAAATGTCGTTTCAGCCAGATTTCCCTCACATAAACATCTTTCAGGAGAAAATCGAGCTGCGTTAATGGATGAAGAATATTGAGATATAATGTTGTCAAATGGCCACTCTTTGAGGAAGAAATTGAATTGAAAGTTTATAAATTTTCTTTGTCTTGGTTTTCTTTGTATGCCCTTCGAGTGTCAAGTGTCCTTTTGAGCTAAGCAAATGACTGGGCCAACTTTCATTTTAAAATAATGATCTCAAACAATATTGTGATCGCTCTAAAAACCACCTGATAAATTGGAGGTCCCATTAAAACAAAATTCAAGGAAGTTGTCAGGGGCTATCCCATATATCTGCAAATGTTTTTTTTTTCCCCTTTTATTACAAATTGTAGATACATGGTTCGATAAATGATGATGTAATGTCGTGTATGCACAATGTAGTTGTTCTGCATAGCTGATGATTGTATTTTTTCTGGAGTCTTCTGAGAGTATGAAGAATTATTTTTTTCATCCGTTGTTTACATATATATGGTAACTTTGTTTTTATTAGTGATTGTGGCTTTGGTTTTACAGTCTCTATCAAGCAATGTCAGTGTCAGGTTTTCCAACACCTAAATACAAGTGGAGGTATTATAGGAAAAGAAAGTACAACAACTTTATGAGAATTTAGAAATGAAGAGTGCCTCTGTCTATCTCTAGTACCCTTTGTCAGAAAAGAAGAGTGCCACTCAAAAAGTGGATGAGACCCAACTTATAGCTGGGATCTACTGAAGTGTTGCGGAGAAAGGCATTTGTATATGTGCGTGTATTTGTGTATAGCATACAGGATATGCTATATTTACTTAAGCATCATTGAGCAGGATTTGAGTTTCCCCATACTAGAGAATCGTCAATGAGCCTGTTTCCCCAGTTGGGAAAGAGAATGCAGTGATAGTGCAAGCTTAAACAAGGTTTATGTCCAATTGCTTCTCCCTTTCACACATACTTTTTTCATGTTTGAATTTCCTTCACTTGTATACATGGGTATTAAAGCTTAAATGTGAGGAATGATGTGCATGTGTGTCCCCCAGGTACTCCCTGTTGCAAGAACATCTATACATCATGGCGTGGTGAACTCGTCACATCGCTTTTTTTTCTGAAAGTTTTAAGTTCTGGGGAAACTGTAGATATGTACAGAAATGTCTTAGCCAAAGCCTGTAGCTAATATTACACTTGATTCAGAATGAAGCTGGCGATGCGGTACCTGAAAATATTTTATAGGTATATTTTTGTTTATCTTTTTTTTTTCCATGTTTTTTTTTTTTGGCTTACATTTATTGGGAAAGGTTAAAAGTGTACATTTAAAAAAAAAAAGAAAAGTAAAAAAATGTATCAAACTCTATGCTGTCTGTTGTTGTCACACATAAGTTTTTAAACTGTTTTGTCATGTTTACTTGACAGGGTCAATTTGTATGACTGAATGTTTTTTTTTTTTGTTTCTTTTGTCTTTTGTTTTTTTTTGCTTTTGTTTGTTTATCTGTTTTGGTTAATTTTTTTTTGTTTTCTTGTTTATGTTTGTGTAGGCTTTAATGCTTTGATGGATGAAGGTGATTTTGTTGGTTCATCATTTAATGGCCATGCTAGTCCACGCTGCTTTCAATATCTGTCATTTGTAATTTAAGACTTCCACAGCAGCTTTTCCTTGTAAGTAACTGAAAGTTACGATTTACGCATGCTGTTTCAAACTTTTTTCATTGTCACTTTTTAAAACCTAGGGTACAGTTGTATGTTGGTAGGGTTTCAGTACTCTTTTTTTTTAATGGTCAGACAGGTGTAGTTTAGTAGCCTCGAAGTTTTGGATATAATCACCTTTACCAGACTCTGATGTTAGTCTTTTGTTCTTTTTTTCGCTGTGCATGATGATTAAAAAGTGGTTGACATCCACATTCTCAGTAAGTTGTGGGATGACTGTTTGCTTTATTGACATTCAAAGTGGAATGATGTAGGCTCTATGCCTTTGGTTTGGTAAAAGTTTTACTGTGCCTGCAACTGCATAAGGTCGAATGAATACTTTCCCAACCTTCCAGTCAGAAGATTTAAGTTTTCATATGGGAAATTTATTGTAATTTTCATGGAGTTTGACAGTCATTTTAGTGGGATATTTATCCCTCACAACCTGAGATAGCCCTGAGGGTAAGGGTCTGAGCAGCCTGCCTCCTGAATCGTCTAAACTTTATCGTAGAACAAATGCAGCTGTGAACTGGGATTGAGTGTAAGGTCCTAGTGTAACAGGTGCTTGATTGCTAAAACTTTTTGGCGCCGACATTCATTTGAAATATTGGTTTTATCCTTTTATAATTTTCTCTGCATTGCTACCACCTTCTCTCCTGTCAATGATGATTTGAAGTATGATTTTTTTACCATGCCCAAGAGAGTACATGTAGTCTGTAGGTCTCTAATCATATTTAGAATAATGTTCTGTACCTTTATGTCATGGGGACTAAAATCAAATGTGAACTTTTGTTTATTCCATGTGATTATGCTTTCTATGAAATCAAAGGTTTTTCTTCTTTTTTTTTTTTTTTTTTTACCTGTCTAGTGTACTTTTGAAAATTATGTATGTATTGTTGCCATTTATGAATTGTAAATGAGATGGCCTGAGAGATAAACTTTTTACTGGTGCTTATAAAAATATTGTTTCAGTGTCGATATTGCCTTAAAACAACGACTGAAACGAATCAAACCTGTCCGTGTGTTTCAATACAGTTTGCATCCCTTGTATAGGGTAAAGTGACATTCTCAACTAACAACTCCTCCTTTTTCCCCACGATTGTCCATGCTGTGTGCTTTGCTCACTGCTGCGTCAGTATTTGATCCAGATGGAATTGATGTCCAGTCTGTTAAATCATGATCTATAGTTCTACAAAATCTGTACTCACCACCGCTCTTCCATACCTCCCTCATTCCATCTGTCTTACCTTTCAGGACAGAATATTGATTGAAACGTCAGTGAAATAAATCAAATTCTCTTTTTCTCTTTATACTAATCAAAAGATTTGGATTTGTCTCTTTTCTGAGCCTGAAGTTTGAGACTAAGCTACATCAGTATTTCCCTAAATTCATTGATTGGGCCTTGGCCGTAAGTAACTCTGAACAAGTATTTCGGCTAAGTTGCCTTGAAAGCAGAAACTTTATTTCAACATTACTACATGTTATTGTTGTTCTTCTGTTTCTGACCTTCAATAATAATAATAATAGATAGCATTTGTATAGCGCATATCCCCGCTCAACAGCAGGCTCCATGCGCTTTACACTATATTATTACCCCAGCAGACCATAGAACACTCCGAAACATTCTCAGCGTCCCGGGAACCTTCAGGAAGATCGTAGAACCACTGGACTACCCCAACAATTTTCCTTTCATTTCATTCCAATATTTTGGTTACTCATGTAAAGTGAATGTTTGGTACATAAAAGTTCAGTGCACTTCAACAATGTCTGTCGCCTATTCAGGATGTGCTGGTGGTCAGAGAAGTTTGAAGCTGGTCAAATTTTTTAATTTTTTTTTGGAGGGGGATGAAATTTTAGAAATGTGATGGGCTTTTTTTAATACCTTATTTTCTTATGGTTTTTCATGTACTTAAAACTTGTCCACATGCCAATAGTGTTGATATTTCTTCCATGCCTCGTTCATTCCTGTCTCCGCCTATTTGTTACACAAAAAGCTATCCTGGTTATTCAATGGGCATTGAGATTTAAGTAAACTGAAGGGATCAGTTGCCAGTATGCAATGTTTCATATAACTTTGCGCTTTACTCAAATTTTTCTTTTTTCAGAAACTTCTTGTGACAGTTAGCAAAAATATTACACCCGGAGTGCGTTCAGAAGATATATGGTAGAATGTGCAGTGAGTTTATTTTTAAAATATTTTTCTTAGACACATATACTTGCTGCTTAGTTTATGCTTATTGATTTTCCTTTTAAGTGAAAATGCCAGCTCATGCATTAGGCTGTTAGTTTTTTAGACTCTATAAGACCATCAATATACAAATATTGTAACTTGTTCTTTGCTGATCAAAGTAAGCCTCGATCGACTTTGCTGCTGCTCTGTGCATCTTTGTCATTTCACGCTCATTAAAAGTATCTTTCCAGTACTTTTGGGACCAACATGCATCAAATGTTTTCTTTTTCAATGTTATATTTTTATTAAAAGGATATTCATTCCATGAAATCAAATTGATGCTCTGAAATGGAACTCCATTGCCAAATGTTTGTGAATCGCAGGGCAAAGGGAACTTCATTGCCTTCACAGAAATGTTTTGTGCCTTCACAAAGTGATAACTTATCCCTTTATAATGTTTTACCCTTCTTATGAAATTCAATTGTGTCCTCTTTTGATGAATCCAGGAGGAGCTTTTCATAATGAAATCTGAAGAATCTAAAGACCTGCGAAGTTTTTTTCATATACTCCAGGTTTGACGCAAGTTCGTTCAAACAATTATGATTGCATTCTTTGTCATAGAAACGAAGAAATTGGATATTTTAAAAAGAAAGAACTGCTGGGTATTGCATCTTTGAGGAGATTTTTACGCTTAACCTTCTACAATGCCGTTTTTCATCTTTTCTTGTAAATAAGATTGTTTTGTCCATGAATGGAATTTTTGTTTTCAATAAAAGTAAAGTAAATGTCACATTCAAAATTTTTGACTTTATAAATGTTGAATTTATTTTCTATACAAATAAAAGAAGTAACATTTATGATTTTCTGTGTTGGACCTTTGTCACTTGAATTTTTATGTAATGTTTTGCCTGTTCCAGCTCTCCCCACTCACCTCCCTGCCCCACCAACTCTGTAACCCTAAGTCCTTTAGCGATCTGTGTATGTATTTGTCAACATATCTACCTACCTGCTGTCTGTCTGTCTGTCTGTCTGTCTGTCTGTCTGTCTGTCTGTCTGTCTAGTATCTGTCTGTCTGTCTGTCTAGTATCTGTCTGTCTGCCTGTCTGTCTGTCTGTCTGTCTGTCTGTCTGTCTGTCTGTCTGTCTGTCTGTCTGTCTGTCCTCTCTGTGTATTGGACACTGAGGGTCTTGTAAAAACAAAAAAGCGAACTGATGTTGAATGTTGACAAAACAGAAGTCATTCTGGCAGGCAGTCTCCTTTTGAGGTTGACAACAATCGCATGAAAATTAGTGATGTGGAAATTACATTTTCAAGAAAAGTATAAAATCTTCGCATCTATTTTGATTCCAGTTTGTCATTGTCGGCTGAGGTGATTCGTCTGATCAGCTGCATGTATTTAGAAATAATAACAATTAATTACTTGTTAATTGCTTTATCTTTTTAGTTTTAGTAAAAGTTTTATGGCACTTGAAACACAATAAGGTCATATAAGTGCCGAAGATTCGAGGTGTTACAAAAGAGTAACAAACATAAAAAAAGAAGGAGGAGAGATAAAGACGATAGTTGTTTAATAGGAAAGAAGGAGCAAACCACACCAGAGCGCCCTCCAACCACCCACATTACTTTATCTAATCAATACTAAATACACTGCTTTACTACTAGTAAATAGCCTGGTTTTATCAAGACGTGATTATTGTTACCCTTTGTACATTTGTATCAGGAATTTGTGTATCTGGAGAAAGTCAAAGGAGTTCAAACTGCTCAAAACAATACTACACGTTTTGTTTGACAGAGAAGAAAGCGAGACTGCTACATTCTCGTTCACGGACAATGCACTGGCTTCATGTTGAGAATATAATTATGTACAAGATGGCCACTCTTTGTCACAAATGCTTGAATGGAAATGCGCCTTTATAAAATCATCAAATCTGCTGAGACTGTACATCCGAACTCGCAGTTTAAAAGTCAACAGCTCACAAAGAGAAATTACTTTCACCGTCTATGAAACCTAAAACTATAATAGATGAAAAGGCATTTGCATATTGTCATGGCCTTAAAATCTGGACGGTTTTGCCTAGTAGTTTAAGAGATAAAATCTTTCAATTCATTCCAAATGTCAGCTAAAGTCATGTCTGTTTAAAGATTAATGAGATACATGTATAATGTACAGAGGCAGAGAGAGATTTTTAGTCCGAAAACAATGCACTGTCTGTTTATGTGTTGGTTTTTGTAAAGCGCAAAGAGTCTGTGGTTGAGCTCAGATATCTCTATATACTCTCTCTATCTCTCTCTCTCTCTCTCTCTCTCTCTCTCTCTCTCTCTCTCTATCTATCTATCTATCTATCTATCTATCTATCTATCTATCTATCTATCTATCT